TCCCATCCTCTCTCCTTTCCCATCCTCTCTCCTTTCCCATCCTCTCTCCTTTCCCATCCTCTCTCTTTTCCCATCCTCTCTCCTTCCCTCCCATTTCTGCTCTCCAGATCAAGCTACAGACCCCCAGCAGCACGTTTCTGTGCAAGGCCCCGCCCTCCCCGCCCAATGCGTCATACCCAAAGGGCATTCTCGCCACCACAGCCGATGCCACCGACCCCCTCGCCACCTTCACCATCATCCCCATCCCCAACTCCCGTAGAGACACCACCTTTTCCATTGATGCTGCTTCTGGTACTGCTAGTTCCGGTACCGGTGCTGGGGTCAATGGTACAGGCACTGACAGCAGCAATAGCAGCACCGGCAGCACTGGCAGTACTGGCAGCAGCGGTAGCACGGGCAGCTCCGGTAGCACCAGTGGCAGTGATTATCTAGGGTTAATTGCCCTGGCGAGTGCGGACGGGTATTACCTGTCCATGGGGGAGGTGGCTCCTGAGTTTGTTGAGGTGGTAACCACGGGGGATCCGGCAGCGGGAGCGGGCGGCGACGAGTGGCTGGATGTGCGCGAGGTGATGACGGTGCCTGCCGTCCGCGGCGTGAATCTGGGCGGCTGGCTGGTGGGCGAGGAGTGGATGAACCCGAAAACGTTTCAGTACATGGCGTGGGGAGATGGCACGCGGGTGAGTGCGTTTTGAGGCACTGTGACTGGAAAAAAGTGCTTTTTATAAGGTGTTTAAGTGAATGGCATGGCGCCATGGAACGGAACGCAGGTGAATAGTGAGTAGCCGCTGTGATGATGAGGCTGCTGCTGTGAGTGGGTTCTGAGACGCCTCGTATCGGTGTTTCATTACATGGTGGCGTGGCGTGGCGTGTTTGGGGGAATGGCGCACAGGGAGGAGTAGCGAGTGAGCTTCCACTCCCATTCCACCAGTCCACCACCACGGACCAGTACATTAATGGTGGTGGTGGTGCAGTCCAGGCCGGGCGAATGGTGACTTTTGAGGCGCCTCAAAAGTCGTCACCTGTACATCAATGGTGGTGGTGCAGTGCAGTGCAGGCCGGGGGAGTCTAGTTTTGAGGCGCCTCAAAACTACATTCCACCAGTCCACCACCACGGACCAGTACATTAATGGTGGTGGTGCAGTCCAGGCCGGGCGAATGGTGCAGTGCAGTCAGCACCGGCTGAGAACCCATCCGCCAGCTAATTCGCACACTTTCACTCACTCCCATTCCATGGCCCTCATTCCCCCTGTCACCCTACCTGTATCCTCCGCCCCCAGGTGACATTCCAGTCCACCACCACGGACATGCACATTAGTGCAGTCAGCATGCACAGACCCATCTCTCAGCTCATTCACACCCTTTCACTCACCCCCATTCGGTTGCCCCTCATTCCCCCTGTGTGTGTGCTCCGCCCCCAGGTCACATTCCAGTCCACCACCACGGACATGTACATCAGTGCAGTCAGCAGGGGCAGGAAATCCATATCCCAGCTCATTTGCACGCCTCCACTCACTCCCTTTCCATGCTCTCATCTCCCTTGTTTATCCCGCCCCCAGGTGACATTCCAGTCCACAACCACGGACATGTACATCAGTGCAGTCAGCATGGGCAGGGCAGTGAACCCACATCTCTGCCTGTTCATCCCTGCCTCCTCATCCCCTTCCCACAGGTCACATTCCAGTCCACCACCACGGACATGTACATCAGTGCAGTCAGCAGGGACGCAGAGAACCCATCAGTGAGCTCATTTGCACACTATCAATCGCAGTTCCGCCCCATCCCCCCTGTATGCCCCCCGTCACCCCCAGGTCACATTCCAGTCCACAACCACGGACATGTACATCAGTGCAGTCAGCATGGGTGCAGACGCTAAGGTACGTTCTTGCCCGCCTTTGGACGTGCCTCACAGGCGATTTCTCAGGTGCCGGACCCGAAAAAATGGGTGCCAAGGCTATGGTATGACATCCCGTGTAACAGACGAGACGACTGTTTGTCCACATTCCTCACTAATGATCTGCCCCGCTTCCACAAGTCCCCCATCCTTCATTCATTCCCCATCCCTCTTCCCTCCTCACCCCCGAGGTTGCTGTTGTTGTTGTTGTTGTTTCATTGTGCCATCCTTTGTTTCTCCCCAATCCCCGTCCCATCGCGACGCCAATGCCCCTCCCCTCGAGTCGCCAGCTGGAGTGTAACGCTGTGGCGGTAACCATGCTACAGTACTTCCATCCATCTCCTTGTATGTGGCGTCTCAAAAGCCCTCCTTTCTCCCCAACCCCCGGCCCATCTCTGTGCCAACACCCCCCTCGTATCGCCAGCTGGAGTGTAACGCGGCGGCGGTAACCGTGTTACAGTACTTCCAGCTCCTCACTGTGCCAGGCGCTGCAGATAACATCCGCCAGGTGGGTGGGTGGGCCCTCTGTTGCCTTCAGGTGGGACCGTTGTTGCCTTCAGGTGGGGTGTCTCTGTTGAAATCAGGTGAATTCTCTGTTTCGATCAGGTGTGTCACACACACACACCATCACGGGCGGTGGTGGGGCAGATAGGACAGTACTACTGGGACGCGTAAGGCAGCGCCACCAGCATGTGAAATCCCATCCACCAATGTTCATTCATCCCTCATGCAGTAGCAGCAATATCTTCTCCCCCCATTCTCGCTCCCACCCTACACACACACACATGACAGGTGGTGGGGCAGATGGGGCAGTACTGGGGCGTGTACACAGGCGCCACCACCGTGTGGACTAGGGACAATGAGCCGCAGGGCAGCAGCACTTTCTCCTGTCTCTCAATTCCTCTCCATTTGTGCTCCCCCCCCCCCAACCCCAACTCACACATGACTGCAGGTGGTGGGGCAGATGGGGCAGTACTGGGGCGTGTATACAGGCGCCACCACCGTGTGACCTCACATCCACCAATCTTCATCCCTCATGCAGCAGCTAAATCTTCTCCTCTCGTTCTCTCTCCCACCCCTTCACTCACACATGACAGGTGGTGGGGCAGATGGGGCAGTACTGGGGCGTGTATACAGGCGCCACCACGGTTTGGACTAAGGACAAAGAGGCGCAGGGAGGCAGCAGCGCCTTCACACTCTCTCTTGCCCCTTCATTCGTGCACTCTTACCACCCATCCACTGCAGGTGGTGGGGCAGATGGGGCAGTACTGGGGCGTGTATACAGGCGCCACTACTGTATGGACGAGAGACAATGAGGCACAGGGCAGCAGCAGCGCCTTCACGCTGCTGCTGCTGGGGGCGCAGCTGACCAGAGACATTCCCATGAACGACTCTCTGAGAGTCATGATTCAAGCACCGAATGGCCAGCTGCTGCAGGTATGTGTGTGTCCTCCGTCCCGTCCTTGCCTTCTCATCAGCTGCTGGGGGCGCAGCTCACCAGAGACACGCCCATGAACGACTCTCTCAGAGTCATGATTCAAGCACCGAATGGCCAGCTGCTGCAGGTATGTGTGTGTCCTCCGTCCCGTCCTTGCCTTCTCATCAGCTGCTGGGGGCGCAGCTCACCAGAGACACGCCCATGAACGACTCTCTGAGAGTCATGATTCAAGCACCGAATGGCCAGCTGCTGCAGGTATGTGTGGCTCCCCCTCCCTCCCTCCCTTCCTTATCCTCCTCTCCCAGCAGTAGCTGCTGCTGGGGGCGCACCTGACCAGAGACATGCCAATGAACGACTCCCTCCGAGTTATGATCCAGGCGCCCAACGGGCAGCTGCTGCAGGTACGGCTGCTGATGTGGGGCTGCAGGTATGGCTGCTGCAGGTATGGCTGCTGCAGGTATGGCTGCTGCAGGTATGGCTGCTGCAGGTATGGCTGCTGCAGGTACGTTCACGTGAACGTTAAGGATGCAACTTAGCTGCACTATCCCATAGCCTGTTGTCTGTACGTTTCCCCTCCTGTCCCTCTCGCCCATCCCCGCCTAGGTGCCATAACAGCCATGGTTTCAAATTTCACTAGGAGAAACCTAACGTGGATACGGTGTTTTCCACTCCTTTCCCCTCCCGTCCCTCTCCACCTCTCTCAACCACTCTATTACTAGGTTCACGAGGACGGCACCATAACTGCAGCACCAATGCCACCAAAAGAACCGAGCGTGGGGAACCCTTTCGTCTCTCTCCCCCATTCCCCCTCGTCTCCTCCCATCCCTCTCCGCCTCCCTCACCCCTCAACCCCCAGGGACACCAGCACGGCACCGTAACAGCCGACCACAGCCGACCACAGCCGACCACAGCCGACCACAGCCGACCACAGCGCCAGTGCCCATTTTTCTTTCTCCCCCCTCCCCTCTCTTCCTTCCCGTCCGTCTTGGCCTCCCTCCCTCCCTTCCCCCCCAGGCGCACGAGGACGGCACCCTAACAGCCGACTACAGCGCCAATGCCAATGCCCTCTTATCTCTTATCTCTTATCAATGCCATCCCTCTCGTCCTCTCCCACTCGACCAAGCGCACGAGGATGGCACCCTAACAGCCGACTACAGCGCCAACACCGCTATCGGAACCCAATCTTTTACGGGCACTGTCTCCTTTCTCCTCTCCACCTCCCGCCCCACAAACCCCCCCACTTTCCCACCCTTCCAGGCTCGCGAGGACGGCACCCTAACAGCCGACTACAGCGCCAGCGCCACCAATGCCCTCTTATCTCTGCCTGCTTCCCCCTCTTCCCGTCTCCCTCGCCCTCTCTCATCCCCCCAGGCACACGAGGACGGCACCCTAACAGCCGACTACAGCGCCAACGCCACCAACGAGACGCTCTGGTCGGGGCCGGCTGTGTTCTTCATGGACCTGGTGAGAGGGAGGTGGAGAGGGACAGAGAGGGGCAGAGAGAGGTAGAGAGAGAGAGAGGTAGGGAGACGCTCTGGTCGGGGCCGGCTGTGTTCTTCATGGATCTGGTGAGAGGGAGAGACCGGCAAAGAGAGGTACAGGGAGGTGGAGACAAGTGGAGCAAGGCAGAGAGGGGCAGAGAGAAGCTCTGACCAGGGCCGGCAATGTTGTTCATGGGTCTGGTGAGGGAGAGACGGAGAGGGGTAGAGTGGGGTAGAGTGGGGTAACGAGGGGTAGACATGGGCAGAGCAGAGCGGGGCAGAGAGGGGCAGAGAAGGGCAAAGAGGGACACTGAGTGGCAGAGAGGCGCAGAGAGGGGCAGAGAGGGGCAGAGGGGGGGAGAGTGCGGGAGAGAGGGGCAGAGAGGGGGAGAGAGGGGGAGAGTGGGGGAGAGAGGGGCAGAGAGGGGGAGAGAGGGGGAGAGAGGGAGAGAGAGGGGGAGAGAGGGAGAGAGAGTGGGAGAGAGGGGGAGAGGGGGAGAGAGGGGCAGGCAGGCAGACGCTTTTGATCAGGGCCAGGTGTTTTTTTCGTGGACCTGACGAGGGAGGAGAGAGGCTCGTGCTTTGTGCCTGACACTGGCTCACACTGGCTCACACTGGCTCACATTGGCTCACACGGGGTGCGTTACATAAAATAGAGCCCCATGGGCTGTCTTGTATGAAGGTTGTCTTTCTTTCTCATCTACCTGATGAGGATTGTGTCCTTTTCCATGGGCTGACTTATCTCAACTAGGGCGTCCTAAAGGTGGTCGATCTCGTTTTCATAAATGTGTACAACCCACGAAATCTGCTCGTGAAAAACACGAGATGTGCCCTCGAAACACATGCTGTTCTTGTGCTCTCCCTCCCCTACCCCTCTCTCCCGCCCAGGTGAGCACAGTGCGGGGTGACTGGCAAGCAGCATACACAGCCGGCCCAGATCAAGCTTTAACCCTCTTTGACTCGGTGCACTCGAAGCTGATCACAGAGCTGGACTGGCAGGACATGAAGGCGAGGGGGGTGAACACTGTGCGCATCCCCCTCCCCTACTGGATCGCCCAGGAAGACCCCTCCTTTGCCTTCTCCTCCCCTGCTGCTGATACCGGCAGCAACAGCACCAGCAGCAATGATAGCAGCAGCACTCCCACTGCTACTCCAGGAACGCCCGAGTTTCCCTACCCGCCGGGTGCGCTGGCGCATTTAGACTCGGCGTTTGAGATGGCGGCTAAGTATGGGCTGAGGGTCTGGCTGAGCGTGCATGTTGCTCCTGGGTCGCAGATCGGAGCTGCTTTTTCCAGAGACGGGTTGATCCGATGGTCCGGATTGAATGTTGATCACACGCTCGATTTCGTCCGTTGGATCGGCGACAGGTTCGGAGGGAACCCAGGCCTGTTTGGCGTGGGGCTGCTGCACGAGCCTGTCGCCCCGTCGTACTATGGAGTATTGGGTGTAGACGGGGATGAGCTGAGGGAATACTACAGGAAAGCGCATGACCTTATAAGGGAGCGGTGTGCGTGCTGTTTCATGTCGATCGAGGGGCGTGTGGGGAAGAGCATGTGGGACGTGGCGTTTCACATGCTTGACACGTGGCACCCCAATGTGCTGTACGAAACGCACCTGTACAATGTGCTGTCGGGCGTCCCGGTGGCTACCAGGAAGCTTCCTCAGCTGGTGGAGTTGGAGATAGGGGAGCAGCGGAGCAACAAGGCGATGCTTCTCGATGGCGCACAGAGTGTGAGTATGGCGGCGATGGTTTTGCTGGGTACGGTGTGGTGCCGTTCAGTGCGGTGTGATGTGCAGTGCAGTGCAGTGTTGGAGATTGGGGAGCAGCGGAGCAACAAGGCGATGCTTCTCGATGGCGCACAGAGTGTGAGTATGGCGGCGATGGTTTTGCTGGGTACGGTGTGGTGCCGTTCAGTGCGGTGTGATGTGCAGTGCAGTGCAGTGTTGGAGATTGGGGAGCAGCGGAGCAACAAGGCGATGCTTCTCGATGGCGCACAGAGTGTGAGTATGGCGGCGATGGTTTTGCTGGGTACGGTGTGGTGCCGTTCAGTGCGGTGTGATGTGCAGTGCAGTGCAGTGTTGGAGATTGGGGAGCAGCGGAGCAACAAGGCGACCCTTCTTGACAGCGCGCAGAGTGCGAGTATGGTGGTGGTGGTGATTGTGCTGAGTGTGGTGGTGAATATGGTGGCGACTCCAAACTCGCCCATCAGGATGAACCGGCCTATCTGCAGGATTGATGGTTGTGTTGGGTGTGAGTGTGGGTATGGTGTGGTGTGGTGTGGTATGGTGTGGTGTGGTGGTTACATTGGATGGCCTGGCCTATCTGCAAGATTGATGGTTGTGTTGGGTGTGGGTGTGGTGGTGGTGGCGGCACTGGGTGTGGTGTGGTGGTGGTGCATGTTATGTGAATGCCTGTAGGTGCACTGTGAGTGAGTGGTGCGTGTGTATTGGTCTCATGGTACTTGTAACTAGTGAGTGTATCAAATATGAGCCAGTGGTTTGAGCAAAAAGAATCAGGTTTCAACACCAACCCCACCTCACCCACCCTTCTGCCCTCCACCTTACCCCACACCCCCAAACTCTCACCCCCCTCCTTCCCCCACCCCCTGTCCCCTCTCGCTCCTCCCCCCCCCCCCCCTCAAAACCCCCCCAAACTCCACACGTGCAGATAGGGCGGCCCATTGTGGTGGGCGAGTTTGGAGTGGCGATGGCGAGTGTGGGCCCCACAGAGGAGCAGCAGGAGTTCACCCTCGCTCAGATGCAGGCTCTGGGGCATGCGCAGGCAGGCTGGTTCTTCTGGTCCTGGAAACTCAATGTCACGGGTACGTGCGACAAATTGGGCTGTGGGCGCAATGTGGGAACATGCTTACACAATGTGCATTGGGATTTGGGTTACGTTTGTTGTGACACGTTTTTGCAAAATGTGTGTTCTCGTTTGTTTCTACAGGCAAGGCCAAGTGGCAGTTTCCTCTAAGCATGGCCATGGGATGGTTACCTAAAAAGGACGACGGAAATTGGTATTAACTGCAATGCGTATCAGCATGCGATATTATGAATAAGCATACCGTTTTAGTATACAGTAGTTGGTATTCTTATATATATGTGCAAATACACCCGTATTGTCATTTCCGTTTCAGTGGTAGGCCCCATCTTGCCGCCAAAACATGTGGGTCGCCCCCCTAGGAGGTGCTTTGCTGCTGTTTGTAGGCCTCCAAGCTTCACAGCCTGTAGTCACCACAGGCTCAGTATTGACTGAGTATCATCGTGGGAAGGAATAGTAGCTAGTTGCTCACAACAACTCTCTAGAACTCAAGAGTAGTTCCGAAAACACACCACCTTCACAGAGATCAAATAGTTCCAAGTGGTATCACATTCCGTGCTCGTGGTGGGTTTGCTTTATGTATAGCAGGCACTTGAGAATGTGAGGCTGAATGCCTCGCACATGTTTAGCATAATTTACACCAGCTAAACTATCATCGAATAGATTTCGCCCCATGTTTCTATCGAAAGGGTAGTTGCGAAATTGTCTGGGTTGGTCGGGTTTGCACCAAATGCGGCGAGGGTGGCTGCCAACCAACGCTGGCGTCGCTTTGAATGCCAAATCCATTCCAGGACAGCCTGGTTTGACTTACGCGAGTTTCCATGTTGCGTCCGGTGCGACGTCGTCACAATCTATCGCCACGAACGATTCCTCCCCCACTGGCTTTCGTCAGATGCGTCGCCACAATCCTTCGCCACAGTCTTCTCCCGCATTCCTTCCACAGAAGCTATCGCAAAAGCGTTTCGTCAGCCCCTTCGCCACAACCCTTCGAGATGCTTCGCCACAATTATTGTTGCTGACATTGTCCTTCCCTGATCGCCTCACGCTCACCCACCTCCCCTGATCACGACGCTGACTCTCCCACCCTTGTTATCCGCCTCCCTTGTAGGAACGTTTATTCTGAATCAGCCTCCTATTGATGGTATAAGACCTCTCTCTTCCATGTTTCTCATCGGCAGTTTCTGAGTCGACAATCCTCGACGTCCCGTTCGCGCTTATCCAGGCTGATCAGTGACATACCTCTCACCTTTAATCGTGGTGCTTTCGCGACTCGACATTATGGGAACATTTCCTGCTCAAAATGCGGCTCGGTTACAGCTGCTGCTGCGGCTGCTACTGATTGCCACGGCGCTGTTCATCCCGCAGCTTGGGATTGCGGAAGCGGCGTGCACCAAGGTGCGGAACGTGCTGATCGTCGGCGCGGGCATCTCGGGGGTCTCCGCGGCGCGACATATTGCCGTCACCAATGGCGAATGCTTCAAGGTGCGTCGCGCGACCTTTGATGTGTGATACGCCTTAGAAGCTTCTACGCGGCGCGACTGATTGCCGTCACCAATGGCGAGTGCTTCAAGGTGCGTAGACGGAGGCGCTGATTGCCTTTTCGTTTTTCTTGCGACGCATGTGGGTTTCGTCGCGTCAATCTCGAGCGGTCCCACAACGGTGCGCCGACCGGCAAGTGCGCGACTCGCATCTACGCGGACCCGCAAATGCGCCGACTCGAGCGGACCCGCAACGCGCGGACTCCGTCGGCGGGCGTGACGATTTGCCAAATAATCTGGCTCCAACGTCACGTTATCGCACCGGAGCGCCTATTTATGGAATCGCGCGCCGCCGCGTGGCGAAGGCGCTGAGCAATCGGTCAAACTGCTTGAGACACCGTGAGAAGCTCACCTTGGCGGAACCAGCCAAACAAACCTCCGCCCTGCCCGCTCCGGCCCGCCAGGCGCAGGTGCTTGAGGCGCGCAACCGCGTAAGCGGGCTCATGTAGGGCCAGCCATAGGGCCCACTCTTTCCGCATAACCTCTGCTACACTTTTCCCCCACCTTTCCGCTACCTCCTCCCTCCCCACCCCGCCCTCCGGTGACGGCGCTCGAGGCGCGCAACCGCATGGAGCCGCACGGGCCCTGGCCCAGTCTTTCCGCACTTATGGCTGCTAGACTTTTCCCGACACTTCCCCTTTCCCTCTTCCCCGTAACCCCCCACCTTCCCACCTTCTCCCCCGCAGGTCACGGTGCTCGAGGCGCGCAACCGCGTGGGCGGGCGCATGTGGAGCCGCACGGAGCCCGCGCCGGCCGCAGGCGTCGGCAGCGGCGGCGTGATTCGTGGCGAGATGGGCGCGCAGTGGATCCAATCCGCGACAGGCAACCCCATCACGGCCATTGCGCGCCGATTCAAGCTCAAGATCGTTGAGCAGAACGGCGAGGAGATTCAGTACCGCGCGGGTGGGAGCGCGTACACTTCCTTTCAGCTAAAAGTCGCGTCGGCTAAGTACGACTGGGCGCTGAAGCGCGCCAAGCAGATCGCGAATAATCAGGATAACGACATATCGATGGAGAAGGCGTTCCGAGCCGCGGGGAACTTCCTGAACCCGTATATCCAGGTGCGTGACCTTCACATGCGTACATTCACATGAGTACGTTCGGGTATGACTCCGAGTCTGACTATAACTTATTCTGAGACGTCTGAAAACGTTGGCTATGACTAAAATAAACTTTCACGCACCGTGGCGTGACTTTGGCGCAACTTGCAGTGCGTGACCTTCACATGCGTACATCATTCGGGTATGACTCTGACTACAACTTACTATGAGACGCCTGAAAACCTCTGGCTAAAACTAAACTCTCATGCACCGTGACGTGGCTTTGGCGCAACTTGTAGTGCCTGTATAAGTTGCGCCAAAGTCACACGTGGGACGAAGGAAATCACGGCTCTCAACCGTGTGGTGTGGGCCCACCATGAAAATGTACCCCCAGCCCGGCCTCCACCCCCATCCCCACTCCCACCCCCAACCCCACTGCCAAGCTTCAAATACTCTCCCTACAGCATGCAGTCGCTCGTGGCGCAGGACTCTGAGTTTGAGTACTCGGGCGAGCTCTCAGCCGTGTCGCCCACCATGAAAATGTACCCCTGAAACCCCACCCCCGCCCCCACCCCCAACCTCGAACCCGTAAACCCCTTTCCCTGAACGCCATGCAGTCCCGTGTGGCGGTGGATTTCGAGAGTATTCGGGCGAGCTGTCAACGGTGTCCGCCTGGTACTACCAGGAAGCCTTATCCCCTCCCCCTCCCCCTCCCCCTCCCCCTCCCCCTACCCCTCCCCCACCCTGCAGTCGCGAGTGGCGGTGGACTTTGAGTTTGAATACTCGGGGGAGCTCTCGACTCTGTCTGCGTGGTACTACCAGGACGAGGCGTTTGACGGTCCGGACCTGGTGGTCACCAACGGCTATGATAACATCCCCAAGATGCTCATGCAGGTGCGTGGGAGGTTGTGTGCACGACTGTGCGTTTGGGTCCGAATGCTTGCGTGGAAGTTTGCGGGGCTCTGCTTGGGTTTGACCCCCCGGATCTGGTGGTCACAAACGGCTACGATAACATCCCCAAGATGCTCATGCAGGTGCGAGAGGGAGTGTGCGTGTGTGTGTGTGGGGGGAGCTGTGTGCATGCATTTGATTCTGTGGGTGGAAATGTGCAAGGGATTTCGAAAGTCTCTATCGGACGGAAGTGTGTGTGGGGGGGGAAACGTGCACGGGAGTGTGTGCATGGGAGTGACTGTGGCTGTGTGCTCATTCCTCACTCTCCCTCAATGCAGCAGTTCTCACTCCCTTGCTTCCTCACTCTCGCTCTAACCCACCGCCCCTCGCTACCACTCAGGGCGGGTCCAGCGCGTGCGTTTACAGCTCATTCTGTGCGGTTAATCTTGTTGCGTTATGGTGCATGAAGTGTAAACGAACTGCGCTGGGCCCGCCCTCAGTCCCCATCTCCCCTTCTTAAAAGGTTCTAAACTCCCTCAGTCCCCACCCCACCAATGCCAGGGCACAGCCGGCCCTAAACTTGTATCGCGTCCCAAACTTCCCCTCTTTTTGTTGGTGCAACCCTACGGTTTGCACTCGGCTTGTTGTCCGTGTGCGTGAATGTGTGTGTGTATGGAATGGTATGAGGGCATGGGATAATATATATTTCATGCTTATAATTGTGTGTGAATGTTGATTCATGATGTCGAGTGTGTGTGTCGAGTCAATAGTGAGTTATCGCTAGACGCGTGTTACGCGGTCGTTTGTGTCTCGCGCGCGGTTTCTATTTTGTCGTGCGCGGTTTCTATTTTGTCCTGTGTCGAACGTTCGGCGTGTCGCAGGTGTGTGCAGCAGACCCATCAAGAATTCAAGGATGAGTTTGTGATGAAGAGCCCGAGCCTTGGTGTCAAGCCTCAAGCGATTTCGAAGCTTGCCAAAAGGGTACACCTCAAGATATTGAAGACAGTTACATTACTTTGTGTAGTGTAACATTTCACTTGGTGTAGGCCCTAGTGAAGGGTAGTTTCGAGACCCTTCGTGGTTGGGGACAGTGTGGCACTGTTCCACATCACTGTACCTCGGCTCTTGGGGTTTGTAGGAGCTGGGAGTCATTCCCAACTCGTAACTCTTCCTATCTTGTGTTCTAAGACTATAGTGGCTGCCATAGTACCGTTCGTTCAAACCGACGCTGTGTCGTCAATTCTTTATCAAATCGTGCAATCTAAATTGCTAATTGTAGACGACGTGAAGACGCTCCAGATCCAATTTGAATCAAGTCATTTGCAGCTGTGAGCAGAACGCTATCAACGTTTGAAGCCGCTGTGCAGAAATCCGTCTGTGCTCTCTATCTTTCGTTTTAGGCACATTCAAGCCTATTGTGACTATAACAAGTGGTATCAGAGCCCCTTGGAGCAGTTTCGACAATGTCTGGACCTGAGGAAAGGGGTGGCAGAGGTGCTGGTGGCAGTGGAGAAGCTCAAGCTCAAGGCCAACCCCGTGATTCAGCCATGGCGCCCATGCAACCAAGTCTTGGCCCACCTAGGGATGAGCCTAGGGTGTTTGGGCTTGACAAGTTCAACGGTGACAACTTTGCTGAATGGTCCTTCAAGATGGAGAACATCTTCGACCACTATGACCTGCTGGAGGTGATGGAAGGAACGGAGAAGCGCCCCGAGAACGACCCGGAGAAGAGCCCGTGGGTGCGGAAGAGCGCACAAGGCTATCTCTTACTTGGGCAAGCGTTGGGGAGCAGTCAGATCCGTCACATCAAGCCATTCCAGCGTGAACCAGAGAAAGGACCAAAGGCATGGGCTGCTCTCAAGGGTGTACATGCTCCTGCAACAGCGGCGGTAGCGGTGGTGTTGGAACGGCAAATGGCGGCACTACGAATTGAAGAAGACGAAGCGGTTGAAGAAGGGGTGCAGAAATTCTTCGACTTGTTGACGCGGCTTGAGGGAGCTGATTTGAACTACAGTGAGCTCCAAAAGAAGACCAAGTTGCTGGCCTTACTCCCAGAGTCATGGTCCTCGCTCATCATCAACCTTAATCGCGACTTGCCCCGCCTCTCGCTTGAAGACGTGAAGCGAGCTATCCTTCAAGAGGATTTCCGCCGCCGTGAGTTGGCGAGTGCGGATGGCGCTGGGGCAGCGAGCATCGGCCGTGGATATGGTCGAGGAAGAGGCAGAGGACGAGGGGGAGGAAGGTTTGGTGGCAGCAACTTCGGCGGAGGCCGCAGGAGTGGCGGTTACGGCAGCGACGACAAGAGCTACGGACGCGGTCGCGGCCGATTCGACGGCGAGTGTCACTATTGCCACAAGAGCGGACACATGTGGCGCGACTGCTACAAACTCCCTGATGGTTGGACCCCTGCTCAAGGCCAAGAGGGTAGAGGAGCAGGAGGAGGGAGAGGACGAGGCCGTGGAGGCCGTGGCGGTCGCGGTGGCGGAGCTGCAAACATGAAGAGCGGAGACAACGACAAGGACCCGAGCGACGATCGATACCCGGGTCTATTCTACTTCGTGTCGACGCAAGTACCGGCTGGTCCAGAGAAGGATGAAGGCTTTGAGGAGCCAGCAGCTGTGGGGAAGGTGACCCTACACCCCCTGGACTATTGGGTGATCGATAGCGGCGCTACCTATAGCATGACACCTCGTGCGGACTTGCTCACCGAACTCGAGCCGTCACCGGTGAAGCATGTCACATCGGCTTTGGGGCAGCGAGCAGAGGTGAAAGGCATGGGCAAGGCCATGTTCAAGGGTGCTGATGGGAAGATGGTGGGCCTCAAGAACGTGCTTTGGGTGCCCAGCCTTGCTGCAAACCTGATTTCCGTGCGGCGGTTGGCAAAGGCCGGCATGGACACGAACTCGAAGGGAGCCAAGACCTACACCGCAAGGCTTGGCGATCGAATTCTTTGGGACCTTCATGAGGACAGGGATGTCTACAACGAGATGTGGCAGATCCCAGTGGTCCCTATGCCTAAGGAGAGGCAAGTGGCAGCAAGCATCAGCACCAAGGATGGAGCGGTCGGTAGCGACGATGGCGCGAACGGTCGCGCTAAGGAGAATGAGCTCAAGAAGAGCAAACCTGGAGGGACCAGCAAGTTCAGTGAACCTAAGGAGAGTGGTGCAGCAACCAAGGAGCAGCAAAAGGGTGAGGAGAACCCAGAGGCAGCAGCGGAGGAGGACTACGGAGAGAGTATGTGGGGCGCTATTGCGAGCGCGGCATTCTCCAATCCAACTTCGGCTACGGGGGAGTGTGATTGGCTCACCTTGCATCGGCGCATGGGGCATGTGGCCCTGCCCATCTTGCAGCAGCTAGTGAAGAATGAGATGGTTGCTGGCATACGTGTGAAGGGGGAGCCCGATGAGGTGCTTGGCTGCCCGACGTGCATTCAAGCCAAGTTCACCCGGTTTCCGTTCCCTAGTTCGGAGGCAACGGCAAAGGCACCGCTTGATGAGGTGGTGATGGACGTGGTGGGCCCCCTGAAGCTTGGAGCTGCTGGAGCTGAGTATTTTCTCACCATTGTCGACGTCTACACCCGCATGACTTGGGTGTACGTGCTGGCCAAGAAGAGCGACGTGGCTGAAACGTTGAAGACGGATTGGTTCCCGATGGTGGAGCGGCAACAAGACCGTCTAGTCAAGTCAATCCGCACCGATCGAGGGGGAGAGTTCCTGAGCAAGGAGTTTGGGTTGTGGCTGAATAAGAATGGTATTCGGCACTCCCTCACCATGCCATACTCCCCTGCAATGAACGGCATCGCCGAGCGAGCGAACCGCACAATCACGGAGGCGGCACGCGGGTTGCTCATTGAAGCCGGGCTACCCGACTATTTCTGGCCTGATGCGGTGCGGAGCGCGTGTGTGGCCAAGAACAGAGCCTTGACTCATGTGGGAGCAGACAAATGGGTGCCCTATGTGGAGTGGCTAGGAAGGAAGCCAAAGGTGGATATGCTTCGGGTGTTCGGGTGCATGTGCATGGCGCTCGTGCCTAAGCATCTTCGGCACAACAAGCTTGGTGCCAAGGCGGTGTGGGCCGTGCACTTGGGCATGGCTCAAAACAGCAAGGGATGGCTTCTTTGGGACCCATTCACCAAGAAGTTCTTGGTGAGCAGGGACTGCAAGTTCATGGAGAACTTCATGTACAAGGATTGGAAGGCGGAGAATGAGGCGAAGATAGGCGTGCGGTTTGGGGAGGTGAAGAGTTCCGGTTTGGAGCATGTGGAGCTGCCTTTGGAGCTGAGCAGCGGCAGCACAACCACAAGGCAATCCTCCCTTGTGAATGGGGGAGAAGAGGCCAATGATGCAGAGGAAGAAGAGGAGGAGGTGCAGCAAGTGAGCGAGCGTGCACCGTCACTCCCTTCCCGTACTACGAGTGCTCCACGGATTCGAGCCACACCGCAGCAACGCCAAGGCCTTCAAGTCCCTGCATCTGAGGAGGAAGGAAGGGGGAAGAGGAGAGTTCAACCCCCTAATAGGCTGACCTATGATGCACCGGGAAAGCAGGGCAAGACAGCCCTGGCCGGAGCGGCAATGATGGTCGGAGACGACGAGGAGAGTGACTACGAGGAGTGTGCCTTCGCGTTCTTCTCTCCGGTGGAGATGCCGGGAGAACCAGCAACTCTCAAGGAGGCTTTGGAGAGTAGTGATGCTGAGGAGTGGAAGAAGGCCATGGAGAGTGAGCTGAAGAGCATCGAGGAGAATGACACGTTTGAATTGGTGGAGCTACCGGAGGGGCGTACGGCGATAACGTCCAAGTGGCTCTTCAAAATCAAGTCGGATGCCGACGGCAAGATCGAGCGCTACAAGTCTAGGCTTGTAGCCAAGGGGTACCAGCAGAAGGAGAAGGTGGACTTCAAGGAGCTGTTTGCCCCTGTGGTGAAGCCGACGACGCTGCGAACCCTATTCGCGGGAGCCGCCATCAAAGGATGGGTAGTAAAGCAAATGGACATCGTAACGGCATTCCTTAACGGCATCCTTGAGGAGGAGATTTTTATGGCGCAGCCAGAGGGGTTTGATGATGGTAGTGGCAGAGTGTGGAAGCTGAAGAAGGCCCTCTATGGGCTGAAGCAGGCCCCTAGGCAATGGTACATGAAGCTGCGCGAAGTGTTGGAGGGGATCGGCTTCACTCCCTCAACGGCCGATCACTCCTTGTTCATGCTTGGCGAGGGGGAGCAGAGGAGTTTCATGGTGGTTTATGTGGATGACATCCTCATTTTCTCACCCTCTTCTGACCTTGTGAAGGAGGTGATGCTGAAGCTTCAAGACAAGTTCAAGTGCAAGGCCCTTGGTGACGTGAGCTTCTACCTTGGGCTCCACATCGAACGAGATGTGGAG